GAGGATGAAGTAGGTCAGTTAGCCCATCGTGACGAATTCAACAAGATTTGTTCACGATGGTTTCCAGGGGGAACCACGTGGAGGTCGACCTAATAAGGTATATTGCTAGCTATGGGGCTGTCAAACTCCATTGCTAACAATCCTTTTCCCCCTTATGTACTATATTTAGCAGCAGTATGCGTAGTTTTTACTATATCTTAATATATATAAAACCCGTGTCACGATTCGCTTGCCACTTGTCTAGGAGGCCAGTATACTGATCGAATATTTTCTTTGGAATTACATTGACTTGGACTTTGAATTAGGTGTCAAATTTTGAACATCAACAAAATTTTGTTTAAATGCACTGCTTTAATATAGGTATGAAACCTTATAAAAATATATAAATACGGAACACACACAACACATTCACAAATTTAATTATTCGAATAGTTCTAGTCAAATATTTTCATGATTACTGCAGCTTATCAAAAGGGCAATTGAATCTTGACCCCCTTTAGACTTTGTAACGTTGAAGTACTTTTTTTTAAGATCGACAAGTTGTAATTATTTTTTTATGGATAATAATGAAATTGTCGTCGAAATATATGATGTCGGGGCACCAGTGAGGGATAGGATAGGTGAGAATGAAAAGGCAGGTCAATTAGCCAACGTGGAGGTCGACCTGACAGAGTATATTGCTAGCAATGGGACTGGTAGTCCGCATTACTAACGATCCCTTCCCCCCAACTTTGGGTATTAGTGAATTACGGATATTATTAATAAAGCAGTGATGTCAGTGATTCATTATTACGAATATTAAAGAGGTAGACGGTTTTTCAACCAATTTCAAAAAGGACGGAGATCTTATTTCGACTATATTTTTTTACTCTTAGTAACTTTCGTTAAGATGGACTTTTTTATCATTATCATCAATCTATATTTCTGCCCTCATCCCAATTATTTGATATCGGTGTAATATAATTTTATTCATATTATACAAAGTTTTGGCTTTTAGTTTTACAACCGGTCGCCTGCCTGACGTCAACCCTGATTGGGAACTTGACTTTTGTGAATTAATTAAATATTGATGTATAGATTTTATCTGTTTATAGTATAAAACAAAGTGGTTGTCTGCGTCTATCTGTTTCTCTGCTTACTTTTTCTAACATGCAAGGGATTTGGACACATATTTTATTATAATATGGATATATTTTCAAAAAACTTTTATATGTACAATATACACCCGTGCGAAATTGGGAAAGGTTGCTAGTGTAGGATAAATTTAATCCATTAAATTTGGCTGGATATACGTAATAAATCATTTAATGATACGGGTCAATTGACCCCTTAGCCCCCAGGAACGTTACTAACCCTGAAATTAAATTGAAATTACCTTCCATCAGACCTAGAACCCGTATTTCTCAGCTACGACTACATACAACTGCATAATTTTGAAATGTCTGCAACTGTCTACAATTATTTGAATTCCATATAAAACACAACTGCAAATTAGCAATCCGTTAACACAAATAAACAAATTACGTATGCGAATTATTTACGAGTATATAAATGCACAATTTGCTAAATCTACCGAATGACCTAACACCTGACACAGCTATTAGTCACTAAAATCTACTAAAATTTAAGTTTAAATATCATGTTATAATGACATACTTACATAAATAAACTATGATGGCATACTTTATACCTCCAGGAAAAAATAACGCTATAAAAAACATATGATAAAATTTTATATGCCAAACATAGATTATATATATAGATACATATGCCAGAGATAGATTTTATATACCAGAGATTAAATTATATAGTTTCTAGAATAGTCAATAGAAAAATTTTTGAGGAGAGGCTTATATATAAGGTATGTAGATGAAACGACGACACCCCCCTCCCCCATCTTACTAGACTTATCTGTCAGGGCAAACGCTACCAATAGGTGTACCCGTTCTGAAGTGATGCGCTAAACCAATTGTCGAATGTATACATGTAACATTCGAAAATTGATTTATATTTATTTAATAATAATAATAATAACAGAACTAATAGCATCTTTGTCTAAGTAAATTTTATGACGAAAATTCCTAGATTTGGCAAAAGTTGTAATAGACATGAAGTATCGTTTGGAATGAAACACTTTTGTTATTGCACAGTAAGATATGCGTTTTATATAAATAATATTGATTTGGCAAATGACCAGTTTCCAATTTACGCACAGTTTGACGAATAATCGTTCGAAATTAGTTGCGTAATACGCATATATTTAGATCAAAGACCAGCGCGGGCGCATGCCATAAACCAAGCAGTGCAATATATTCTCAAATGCAACTGTTTCGTAGTATATTTCAAAAATTATCTCGCCTCTCAAGTGCTTATTAAAGCGTACGAATAACGTAGTTATATTTATAGACGATTTGGTAGCAGTTTTATTTTGATCTCGTAAAATTTACTCGTTTATAACCTGTAAATATTATTGAACGTTTACAACCTATAAACACGAAAATATAAGAAAACATCTTACCCTCTTATTTATAAAAACGTCAAACCTCTTATAATCCTATTTTAGCTATTAAACATTTTTTGTCTCTTTCTTTTACACTAAATTCTCAATTTGAAAGAAAGTGACAAAACAGTATAACAGTTAAGTAGAGGAGTTAATGTTTATCCTACGAATATTATAAATATGAAAGATTGTTACATATTTGAATGAATGTTCGTCAATGGTTTAAAAATAGACTATATCGTAGAAAAAAGATTTTTTTTTGTGTAACATGAAATGGCAAACAATCTTACTGTTCACCTATTATAAAATGGCAATTGTTGTCTATAGTCATGAACAGCACTATAGATATAGTTTTTATCCTTGTTAAACGAAAAAAAAATCGTGACATAAATATTCCTACACATATCTGAAAATATGTATATGAAAATGTTAAAGATTACATCTAATCCTATATTCAAAGATCAAATACACTTTATAAAGGTTAAGTGGTAGGGAATTCTATTAGCATTAAGTATGTCCTTTACACCATACCTATGATTCTACTATCGATGAGTCAATAAACACATTTAAGTAAATAAATTCCTTGGTAATTTCACTTGTTCTTTTTTATACCAAGTAATACGAATACCAAATAACGCACCAACTAACCAACAAAACATTTATTAGACGCGAAAAACAACATAGTCCCATATTCCTTATAGATGGTGTTTATTAAAGTTACAGCAATCAAATTTCTTTGTTTTTAACACAATCTCAATATAAAAAAAAAAAATCGAATAGAATTTTATTGGAAACATTTTAAACTAAGTTCGGATAATTTTTCTTTTTCTTGTATAATGTCAGGGGACGTAAAAACTGCCAGATACTGAGCATTTTTAACCGATTTCAAAAAGGAGGTTCTCAATTCGGTTGAATCTTTTTATGTTTATTACATCATAACTCCGTCAGTTGGTTTTTGGAGTTTGAATTTTTTTTCTAAAAAGATATGCTTACAGATTGGTTGGTGCTATAGAAACTTTATCAAAATCGGTTGAGTAGTATAGTTTTTAATTGATTTAGGGTTGCCACAACAGAAGTCGCTTTTTTGTAGAACAATTTAATTATTCATTTTTCTATCACTAATAAGAAGCACTAAACACAACATAACTGAACATTCATATACAAGTGTCGCTTCCTTAGAGGTTCGTAAACATGTTTGGCATTTTTATTTTAATAGCACGTTGTCCGCTGAAGTGTGAATGACATTTGCTAATTATGACCATACTAATAAGCGAGTGTCGTATAGGTAATAATTATACACACAATCTATTAGTGCCATTCAAACTACGTTTTGAGGTTGAGTGACGACCGTCAACACGATTTTAAATTAATTGTAAGATGTTATTAATTATATGCATGTTAACACTTTTTTTGTGAGATTCTTTTGTCTATTGCTATTTTAGAATAAAACTGTCGACTTGCTCCGACACCCTATATTTTCTTTAATAAAATATATACCTATAATGTAGCTTCCTATACGCAAAGAAATTTTTAAAATAGGTTAAACATTTTTTTACTTTTTTTGTCGCTTTTTGTTAGACCAATGCACTGCTCTTTACTTTGTTTAGCGTAGCTGTTTTAACTGGAAGAGAATGCTATCTGGCATTAAGGTCCGCTCTGTAGACATATTTTAATGTGTGAAAAAATTTAAAAATAAATAAAATAAAATTTTTCTTTTTATAATATTAGTTTAGATTAAAATAAAATCAAATAATTGCATACACACCACGTTCACAATACTGAAACTAGGCTAGTCTATGTTATGAGAAATTAATCAATAAATATTTGGAGGCATGCACCCAACTATCTAAAACGAGTCAATTCAGAAAAGTTGTTTATTTAGATAATTAAATTAAAAAATAATAGTTATGTAGTCTATTTCTCCATTACTGCTAATACTCTCTATTAGATCGACCTCCACGAAGTCTACTCTAGAAACTATCGTGGTTAATGATTTGTTACCGCGTTTCGCGGTGATTGCTAACCTAACTTTATCCTCACCTATTATCCATCACTGGTACTTCGTACTTCGCCAGTGTAAACCAATACTGCAGGCAAGGTCCCTTTTAGACAATTTCACTCCTTAACCGTAAATATAAGAATGAAAGACGCAAGTGACGTAAGGAAATATCAAATGTCAACGGCATAAAGTTGTTTACACTCCTTTCGTTTCCTTGAAACTTGCTCCCGAAAGCGCGATAGATAAACTAGGTAATAAAGTTCCTAAATATACTATTAAAAATGTGTAAAACATAAATACTGCAACTGAACTGACTGTAGAACATAAACTGTACTAGACTTTTTATATTTTTATAATATGTGAGGTATCGTGGGCTCCATAGGGTACTGTGTTATTTATGATGCTATTCATGTCTATAGGTGACGGTTACCACTTCACGTCCGAAGAGCCCCTCAGCTCGTTTGCCATTCTAAGTACTCATATAACCAAAAATGTACTCACCAGTATCTCCCACAGCTTGACTCAGTGTGTTCTCGGTGACAGGCCGCAGCGCCTCCACGGCGCTGATGTAACCGAGCCGGTCAGCGATAGCGCACGCAGTCTGCCCATTCTGATGACGTCACAAACGTTAATTGCTATTCACTAACATCTTTCTATTTAAATTTTATAGTTAAAGATTTTTAAAACGAATGAACTTTGAATTTCTGAAGTGGTTACTTTAATTAATTTAATGGCGAAGGTTTTTTTTTAGTGTTCGTTAAAAATGATGTAGCGGTTTTAATATGTTACGTGCTGAGATGAGATGAGATATTATTTAGAGGTACATGAGAAACATTTGCCGTGCGATTCCGGCATACAACGGGCCACCCCTTCTTCTCCCGTGGGTGTCGTAAAAGGCAACTAAGGGGACGTAATGTTTGAGGGTTGGGCAACAGTGGCCCTCTTAAAACATCACCAAAACCTAACTGCCGTTGCCAACCTGTCTGCTAAGTGAAGCAACAACTGGCAAAGCCCCGATTTTGGGGAAGACCTATGTTCAGCAGTGGACACTTAACGGGTAATATTATAATATAATAAAAGGCATTTAAGGCAATAAAGGGATGTATCAAGGCACATTTTGATACATCTACACAAAATTAGTTAGACAAACCCTTGAGCAATGGGTGAAACAGTATTAGAATCCGTATAAAGTGGCCGTGTGGTCCCGGTATAGAATAGGCCACCTCTTCCCTTCCTATGGGTGACGTAAAAGCCGACTAAAGGAGGGCGAGGGATGGGCAGCAGCGTCCCTCTTAAAATATCTTCAAAGCCTGAGTGTGGTTTCTAATCATCCTGCCAAGCATGGCAAGTACTGGCAAACCCCCTAAAGGGGGAGACTTATGTTCAGCAGTGGCTAATTACAGGCTGATATGATGATGATGATGATTAGAGTACAAATATTTTATTATTCAGTACCAATACAAATATCATGCAAGTGGCCACAATTACCAATATTAACACATTGATTCATTACTAGTTCTACCCGTTAATTGGATCTTTTACAACTTGTTAATGGATTGTTTTTAAAACACTGTCGTATATTCGTATTAGTTGGAATCTGTTGATTTTTTCTGATACAAAAACCATGTGTGAAGGGTTCGTTGGATAAAACAATAAAAATATACGATACTGAATAAAGATATATAATATTGTTCCCTAGTACAAAAATAGATGTTTTAAAAGGTAATGACGTTTCTCTAATAAAACAAAATACACATTGATATAACAAGAAAAATAAATAAGTTCTATTTTTAAATGTATCAAATAAAACCTCAACATACTCCCCCCTTGCGATAATATCGCAAAACAGACAGACAGACAAAAAACTACATATCATATAAAATTACAATTCTTACAACAATACAAATCTAGACGGTTAGGTATTTTGACCAAACGACCAGTGCGTATGACACGAGGCAATGGCTCAAAAATTTTACTTATAGGATCGACACTGTGTGTATTGCTCTTAATTTCTGCAAATTCGCCTGATTCAACCTTTAACGCATACAACCGCTGTATAGGCCTTATACACTCACCCTTAGCAGTTTTTACTTTAGCAACTCTAGGACATCCATCAACACCCGGATATATCTCTAAAATTACTCCTAATGGCCAATATAAACGTTTAATATTATCACATCCGACCAAAATAACATCTCCAATTTTATATGTGTGATTCTTATCTTTATGTGCCTTTTGAATCAAGAGTGATAAATATTCATTTCGAAAACGCTGTTTTAAATCGCCACTTAATTTTTTCATATATCTCCACCGAGACGACAAAATATTGCCATCCAACTGACTTAGATCATTTTCATTTTTCTCGATATCCACTTTGAGAAACATTGCGGGTGTTAAAGTTCTTAAACTTTCTGAACTTTCCGCTATATATGTCAATTTCTTCGAATTGATTATATTTTCTATCTCACATAAGATTGTATTGAGTTCATAATAACTTATGTGATGCTTTCCCATAGTATTCTGCATAAAATGTCTTTGACAGTCCTCACCATTCTCTCCCAAAACCCTCCCCACCACGGCGCAGAAGGTGGCATGAAACGCCATTCGATTTTCTGAGTGAGGGTCTGAGAAGAAACCTCTTGCCAATTAATCTCATTTATAATATGGGTAGCACCTCTAAAGTTTGTCCCATTATCACTATAAATTAACTTAACTGCACCTCTTCTAACTAAAAACTTTCTTAAAGCTAGAAGGAAATCCTCATTAATTTGTATAGTATTCTTGAAAAAATTATCTATCTCTTCTTCGCGTTTGATGAGACTTTTCTCTTGTGCGTTATTTTTTATGTCTAACGTTTCTAAATTCCAAAAGTCTTCTACACTATATGAACAAGTCAGAAAACTTACAGATTCTGAAGAGCAATACACACCAATCGCGGGCCCTTGTACAGTCCAACCAAGTTTAGTTTCTGTTGCAAAAAGATAGTCATCTACACGTACTAATCGTCCAGTTAACAGGGTACCTAGAAAATCAGAACCAATTAGTAAATCTATTTTAGAAACATCATCTATAGAATCTGTAACAACAACACCTTTATCATTTAATATAGACAAAATATTATTGCCCTTTTTAATACGAGGTATATCACTACATATCGTATTTTGTTCATATGCTGTAACATAACATTCAAATGTATCATCTAAACTTCTGACATTTAAATTATAAATTCTGTACATTTTTTTTTGTGTCGTAGCTCCACCAAACAAGTTTTGACTCATTTCTTTCATACCACATGCTTTTAATTTTAGTCTAGAAGCAACATCTTTAGTAACAAATGTCTGTTGGGCACCACTATCCAGAAGAACTCTTACTGTGATATTCTCATCTCCATTGCAGATTTTTACTCTCAGAGTTTGTAATAAAACTGTTTTATTATTTGAAAGATCACTCTGATTTAGTACCGACTGAGATTCTTGTGACGTACTAGCAATGGTAGTGCCTGCAATCGACTTTTTTATATCATTGCACATTAATGGAAAATGTCTTTTGGTGCAGATAACACATTTAGGATACTTTCTACATCGCTTGGCAGAATGTCCAATGTTAAGACATATATAACAAGCATTCTTCGATTTTAAAAATTCTTTTCGCTCTTCTAAATTTTTACCAATAGCACATTCTGAGCTAGTATGTGACAGTCTATCGCACCAAATACAAGTTTTTTCCTTACGATCGTATTGGTTACCTTCACCTAATCTTTTCTTAGTATCTTTATTATGCGTCGTGTTTAAGCATGCAGCAGAAGATATATTAAAATCTTGTCTACAATAGTTATCTAAACCTTTGAAGCGAGATAAACGTATTCTTTCTTCTGACTCGACTTCCGACTTGACAAAATTCAATAGTCTAGATAATGGACTAAATTTTTCATTACCTCTATCATTTGCCTGAGATCTGTTCCACGCCTTCAACGTCTCTTCTGGTAAAGCAGATTCTACTAACGGCAATAAAAATGCGGAATATTTTTCTTGGGTTACTCCCATAGATTCTAGTGCTAATATTTGTGTCGTCAGAGAATCATATAATCTACGAATTGATCCCTTCTGTACACCTTTAGCTTGCGCCAGAACAAGATTGAGTAATTCCCTCACATAGTATTCTATTATCATTTCGTCTTTCGCAAATCGATATTTAAGTTGCTCTATAGCAATACTATAATTCTCACCTGATGGTGGGAAACTTTCTAAAAATTCTCTAGCTACCGACCCTACTTCCATGCATTGGAGCAGATAGTGAAATTTGTCATCATCATCAATCTGGTCATCCATATGTATCTTTTTGAACTGAGACCAGAATTTTAACCACGTTTTTATCTCACCATTATATCTGGGTAACTCCAACCTGGGTAGTTTAAAGTGTCGGTTACTATTGGTTCTCAACGACAACTGCTCTGCCTCCATTTCTTTAACAGTAGATTTTGCAGAAGAAATAAAAGTTTTACTTGCCTTTTGTTTCAACATATAATAACGTGATTCGTAGACATCCGCTTCTACAATATCTTTGTCGAATGTCTCTTCATCACGACTGTCATCGTCGAGCCAAATACTTACAACTTTATTTTGTACTAGAGTAAGGTCTTCAAACAACTTATTCAGTTTTTCAAATTCGATGGAATAAATTCGTCGCAACTATCCAAAAGCTTTTCCAGTTTTTGAGCACATAATATATTAATTTGCGACGAGCTAATGTCCTCTCCGCCTTTGCTCTATCCATATTTATCTGCACGGTCGCCAGTATGTGAAGGGTTCGTTGGATAAAACAATAAAAATATACGATACTGAATAAAGATATATAATATTGTTCCACTAGTTATTTGAAAATAGATGTTTTAAAACTTGTAATGATTTTTCTCTAATAAAACAAAATACACATTGATATAACAAGAAAAATAAATAAGTTCTATTTTTAAATGTATCAAATAAAACCTCAACACCATGTGTTCTATGAGATATCTCATCAAGAAGTTCTGTACCAACTTCATTCTCCTATTATATGTAGCACCAACAAAGAGTGTGTTGCCGGGTATTCCGGCATAGAATTACCATCCCAATCTTCTATTTCCGTCTAATAATCCTAAGAGGCATTTTGTCCACACACGTTAATGGTCGACAGGTAGAACAGCAGCTTATTTAACTGCGGTTGTTCACACGCCTGTTAATTACTGGCAAAATCAGGCGAGATTATTTAATAGCTGCTCGACAGTTTACTAATCACAGGAGACAATCGGAGCCTAATGTGAACCGTTCGGTGCTCAAAGCATGCTGTCTACATACACTAGATTTTAGTTCAACGAGGAACTTTTATTGTAAGATCATATGGACAGTTGATGGCTATCCAGCCATGTTTATGGGATCCCTTAATTGCTTTTTACTATTCTCAAGGGAGTGTGATCTACTTAATATCAGAGTCCATTTATCAATAAATACTCTCGGTTAATATCTTTTTTAAAATACCCACTACTAATAAATATAAAAAATCGTTTAAGAATTTTTTTTATTAAATGGATATAAATGAATACTTACAGCAGACAATGCATTAGGGTCTGCGTTGTTTTTCAGGAGTAGCTGAATAATCAGTGTGTGACCTTGCTGAGCTGCTTGGTGCAGAGGTGTGAAACTGTTGGGTAAACAAACATTGTGACATTATCAATAATACTTAAACGACATTACAATATAAACATTGCGAAAATATTAACTATGAAATTAACATGTTAACGGTGAATATGACTGTTTGCTCAAGACGTACTTACTATTGCCGTACATATGTATATTTGTATGATGGTGCTACTGCTACAAATATTAATTTGTGTCTGGGCCCATAACCTATGAGATTGCACGATGCGCGATGCAACCTCGCGAGAGTGGACAGTGGACACGATGCGGACGTGTGATGTACGTGCAGGCGGCGACGTTGGCCCGCGCGTCCAGCAGCGCGTGCGTCGCCAGGTAGGTGCGCGGCGCAGCGGCGTGAGCAGTGGACAGTGGACAGTGGACAGCGGACAGCGGACGTGTGACGTACCCGTGCGCGGCCCTGGCGGCGACGTCGGCCCGCGCGTCCAGCAGCGCGCGCGCGGCGGCCAGGTGTCCGTGGTGCGCGGCGGCATGCAGCGGCGTGTAGCCGTCGCGGGTGGCAGCAGTGCGCGGGACGTGGACAGCGGACAGCGGACGTGTGACGTACCCGTGTGCGGCCCTGGCGGCGACGTCGGCCCGCGCGTCCAGCAGCGCGTGCGTGGCGGCCAGGTGTCTGTGGTGCGCGGCGGCGTGCAGCGGCGTGTAGCCGTCGCGGGTGGCAGCAGTGGGCAGTGGACAGTGGACAGCGGACAGCGGACGTGTGACGTACCCGTGTGCGGCCCTGGCGGCGACGTCGGCCCGCGCGTCCAGCAGCGCGCGCGCGGCGGCCAGGTGTCCGTGGTGCGCGGCGGCATCAGCGGCGTGTAGCCGTCGCACCCACACAGCGCCGCCAGCATCGACTCAGGCGTCAGGCACCCACACAACGCATCGTCTCAGGGGGGAGAAGATTGTTAGTAATGAGGATTAGCAGTCCCATTGTCATCAATCTAGGTATGTTCAATATTCGGTCAGAACGACATCCTCATTATTCCTCCTGGTAACTATCGTGATTGATTTATTATTAAACTGTCAGTCTTGATATTGCAAAGGCTTTTGACCGGGTCTGTCATCGGGGTTTCCTATCGAAATTGCCCTACTATGGACTTGGTTTTGCGAATGGGTTGCCAGTTTTTTGTCCGGCAGATGCATAAAAACCGTTGTTGATGGTTGCTGCTCCGAAAGCATGGACATTAACGCTGGCGTCCCGCAGAGTTCTGTGCTATCCCCGACGTTGTTCCTGCTGCATATTAATGATATGTTGTCCTTAGGTAACATTCATTGTTATGCGAATGACAGCACTCAGATGCCCATTATACGGGCCGTACCAATGTCCCTCGTTCCATCGTGGAGGACAATCGTGAATAGCTTGTGTCTAAAATCGAGAAAACGTTAACTAAAATCTCTGATTGGGGACAAAACTTAGTCCAGTTTAACCCCGCTAAGACACAAACTTGCGCATTCACCGCTAAGAGAACCCCATTTGCTGTGGCTCCACAGTTCCAAGGCACGTCTCTTAACATCTCTAAAAGCATTGGGATCCTTGGTGTCGACATCTCTAATGATGTACAATTTCGTAGCCATCTCGAAGATAAGGTGAAGCTGGCATCTCAATAGAGCGAAGCATTACTTCACGCCGGATCAGCGATTAATGCTCTACAAATTCCAAATCCGGCCCCACATGGAGTATTGCTGTCACTTATGGGCCGGAGCACCTAAATACCAGCTTGAACCTTTCGACTTGTTGCAACGATGAGCTATGAGAATTGTCGATGGTGCCAGGCTCACAAGCGGTATTCAAACCCTTAAGTCTTAGGAAAGATTTTGCCTCACTTTGCGTGGTCTACCGCCTGTACAATGGATTGTACTCAGAGGAATTGTTCAATATGATGCCCACAGTCACTTTCTACCATCGTACGGCTCGCCATCGACAAGGAGTTCATCCTCATGTCCTACAGCCTCAATGGTCGCGTACGCGGGATTTCAGAGATGTTTTCTCCCACGAACACTCAGCTTGTGGAATGAGCTCCCTGCCAAGGTTTTCCCAAGAGACTACAGCATGGGATTCTTCAAAAGGGAGGTAAAGAGGTTTCTTCAGGGTCGGCAACGCTCGCGTAAACCTCTAGTATTGCAGGTGTTCATAGGCTACGGTAACCACTTACCATCAGGTGGGCCGTATGCTTGTTTGCCACCTCAGTGGTATAAAAAAAAACTCGTCAAGATGGACTTACTAACCTACTTCATCCTCACCTATCATTCCTCCCTGGTGCTCCAGCAATTGCCATGGAATGGCAACCCCATAGTGCTACCACTATATCGGTGGCGCAGACGGGGTTGTCATTCCATTATCATCCATTAAATAAACTCATCGTCTTATTACAGACACTTGCCAGAAGATGGTCATAGTGCATCACAAACGATTAGATATCCTCCAAATCTTGCAAACCATGAATAAAGATTCTTTTATATCACAAGGCAAACAAGCATATGGCCCGTCTAATGGTAAACTGTCAGTGTAGCCTAGGAATGTCTGCAACACCAGAAGTGTTACGTGCGCTTGGCCGATGAGCCCCATATTGTATTACTAGTGGAAACCTCAGCAGAATTGTTTATTGTACAAGATGTCACGTTGCAGTAGACGCACGCTGTGGTCATTGAATTATAGACATATGTTTGGTACCTATAGCACAGTGTAATAGGACTACAGTACAGTAGTATGCGTACTCCCTGCCTCCCTCTCGAGTTGAATACAACTCCCCTCAAATACCGTTCGCCGCCTGTTTGTAAAAGGATGTTTCAAATTTACGCTTCAATTGCTGCTGATGTCAAAAAAGGACACAGGATATTTACAATATTTTACACGCGTTAACCCTGTAAAAAAATGTGTAAATGTATGTACACACACACACTTACACATTTTTTTTTATGCAATTTAGAATAGCAAACAAGCTGACGGCCCACCTGTTGGAAAGTGGTAACTGTCGCCTATAGACATAAGCAGTATCATGGACATTAACAGAGTATACTGTCTCGCTCACGAAAATAGGGGGTATCTGTAGTAGTAATAATCACAGATTGGCGTTTTTGTATGAAGTATCCAAGGTGTGACTGGAGGCAAAACAGTACTAGATTCACGATGCGAACAATAGTACATTACTGCAGCGGCCAGCAACTGAGGCATTGATGGACGAATGTGCAAATGTGGGCCAAGGCATAGTCGAGGCACACATACGTGAGTCCATTAATGCCTAGTTAATTTCCATTAATGCCTGGCCAAGGTTCACAAACAATGCGCGGAAATTAAAAACACAATTTTATTTTTTAAATTCAATGACGAATAACGAACAATAATAATTTTTCACGCGCGATTATGTTCCTTTGTTTTTTTTTTCAATAAACAGCTTTCTATTTGCAATCCAGTTCGAAATTTAAATAAATCCTTTTATTAGTTACTTCCTTGGTAGCCATTTTTCGAAGTAAAAGGTCATTCCATTTTTAAATTACAGGACAGATATGAGTTTACATAGTAATTTATCTAATATAATATAGCAAAACACGACACATATGGATTTTCATACAACTTTTGCCGGCCGCTGCCCGCATGTATCTGGCCAGTATGGCAATTTTGATTTATCTCGAAGAAGATTGTCAAAATAATGTTCACATTTCCAAGCATGTTTGAGAAAATAATTTGAGATTGATTTGAATCAAAATTTAAAAAGGCAAACAATTAATATTAACAAAACAGTAAGATTACTAACCGTTATTAGCAGGTACGTTGACGTCAGCGCCTCTTTCTATAAGCATCTCAACGCAGTCCTCGTGGCCTTCCTGAGCTGCCATGTGCAACGGTGTGAAACCAGCCTTCGACTTGACGCTTGGGTCCGCATCTATAACAATATTTATATTCACCGATTACTTTTACACTAACAACTTATAAAGGCAAATAATATATTTCAATGTAACAACAACCGGTTTAACTTACATGTAATTTGGTTAAGAAAGCACGATTGGTTTCGGAACTATTCGGGACCATCCCGAAAATAGTCGAGCTTTCTCGAGCTTTATTACATTAAAATGTAATGTATACTTACGAAATTTTTAACAATAAAATATAGTTACTCCGAATATATAAATTATATTCTTTCATGGTATGAAATAAGACACTTACCATGTTCGAGCAAAGCGAAGGCAATGTCAGGATGGTTGTGTCGACAGGCGATGTGAAGTGCGGAATGTCCATTTTTCGCGAGAGAATGTGGAGAAGCACCTAAACAAATCGAGAAAATCTAGCTTACAATTCATCCTCTAGCCCATACTTGTATAGATAATAGCAAAATTATAAAAGAGTTCAATTTCAACTGTATAAAACTTTATTAAAGGCAAGCGAACAACTCTCATATCACGGTAATGAATCGTAAACCTAATTATAAAGACAATACGTACCTTTATCGAGCAACAGTAAAGCTATATCCGGGTGGCCGTAATAGGTAGCCATGTGCAATGGTGTGATGTGACTTTTCCCTGGCGCGTCTGGCTGAGCACCTCGCGCGAGAAGTAAGCGAGCTACTCCGATATCGCCATATTTAGCGGCCAAGTGTAGTGGAGTGAAACCTTTACGAGTTTCCGCTTCGATCGGTGCGTTGTGGTCAAGAAGAATAGATGCGACTTCTTCTTTGCCTGAATGTAATTATTTAATATTTTAATGCTCAAATTATATATAGAGAAATAAATAAATATGTACATGTAAAAGTAAAAAAAAAACATACATTATTCTGAAGATAGAGATTATTAGTAATTGAGTCTAACAGTAAAAATGTACGTTTAAAATAATTTTACAATCTATGAATATATTGCGTACCATAGACAAAAATAAAATAAACGAAATGAGAGTATTAAGCCTCGCTCTACTTCCTTATAGGCTTTCTTAAAAATAACTGGAATGTTCCAAAACGAACCTTCCTTGGCAGCGATGTGTAGGGGAGTGTAGTGGTCCTTGGTGGCGGCGGCGACGTCAGCGCCGTGCTGCAACAGCAGCGCCGCGATGTCGGCGTGCCCGAGCCGCGCCGCCACATGTAGAGGAGTCTGTTCCTCGCGAGCTCGCGCTTCCACCTATAAATACGTACGTACTATATTAAATTCTTTATTAAAAAATAATGTTTTTTGTAAACATAGTTAATGAATCAAAGATAATACAATTTGAAGAATAGATTTTTATGCTTATATGCACATATAAATAATTTATAAATTTCAACATATAATTTTTTGAAGAAAATTAAATAAAAGTTAAATAAATTTTTATGGTGCAAATTGGATTATAATAAACGTTAAAGTTATTTCATAATGATAACTACAACTTATCCATTGCACACTGTTGAACATAGAACTCTTTCATATTTGGCCACAAAGAATGATCCTACGCCACTTGTAGCTGGTGCTTCCTGCATCTTTGAGATCCACACTGCGCTTTTTGGCTATTTTTTATTCATTTTTTTTTAAACTCCGCCTGCGCTAACGGGATGCGGAGCATCAATTTTGAACATCATCAGGAATTAATCATGATAGTTTCCAGGGGGAACCGCGAAGAGGTCGACCTGGTTGGGTATATTGATAGCAATCGTTTTCTTAGTCTCCATTACTAACAATCCCTTTCAGTAAATAAGTGTTAGGTTCTCGCAAGAGTAGACTGGAGGAATCCAATACAGAATGGGAGATATAAAATAATATGAAACCTAATGCAAAGCTGCTTAGGAGTTAACAGTCAATCTTCCCGCTGTGAAAGTAGTCCAGTGAAATAAAGTATGAGGAGGAATATCGTTGGAGCCACGAGTAGTAATGGCAGCAGCAGTACCTTGGCGCCATTCCGCAGCAGCACCCGCACGAGGTCGGTCTGGTGCGCGCGCGCGGCGAGGTGCAGCGGCGTCTCGCCGCGGGCCGTGGCCGCGTCCGCCTCCGCGCCCGCGCCCAGCACCACCAGCGCGATGTTCATGCAGCCCATGAACGACGCCACGTGCAGCGGCGTCAGCCCGGACTCCGTCGTCGCTGACTTGCCTGTAGGACACGGAATTAGAAATAATTGCCTGCATTTTTTTGTGTACATTCAAAATAGTACCAGTTTTGTTAGGAATTAACTGAACTACATTCTCAAATAGTGATGAACGCCATTTAATTTATCGGTATTCAGTCGCATAATTTCGGCGATCGAAGAAACGTCGAATGCGGCGTTAGCCAAAGTCAAAATTAAAATAGACTTTAGTAGTTTTTACGTAAGCTTATCTTCATCATCATCATATCAATTGTTAACTAAACATAGATCTCCCCCTATTGATAGGTTTTGCCAATAGAAAGCACATGCAAAGCGTGGCAACGCTTGGCAAGTGGGTTGACAACTTCAGTTTTTTTAATGGATGATAATGGAATGGTAACCCCGCCTGCGCTATCTATATACGCTGATGAAGCACCAGTTAGGTGAGAATGAAATGGTAAGTCAGTTAGCTTATTGTGATGAATACACCTGGAATTCAGCACGATGATTTCCAGGGGGACCACATGGAGGTCGACCTGCCAGGGTATATTGCTAGCAATGGACCTGATAGTCCGCATTTGTAACAATCCCTTTAAACCTCAATTAGGCTTGATCATATTTAAAGGGGGATACTGCTGTCCATACCTTGTTCATTAAGTCACCTTTTACAACACACACATGGAAAGGAACGGGTGGTCCATTCTATGCAGGGACCACGCGTTATTTTAAGTGTAATTCGTATTGTATATCCAATATAGGTACATATACTCACTAGCTCCATATTTGAGCAGCAACTCGACAACTTTGAGTCTGTTCTTTTTGCAGGCGATGTGTAGCGGTGTGAAGCCATTGAGCGCGCGAGCGTTCGCGTCCGCATTTCTATCCAGCAATAACTTTGCTACCTGAAATATCAGATTTACATTGGCAGATTAGATATTTCATTTTAACTTTATATAAATAAACCTTATAAATAAGCCGTCTGTCCTGGTATGAACACGTAATGCGCAAGGATGAGGAGCATGTTTTAAGAAAGGTATTAAGTAAGAATGTGGATGGCAGAGGAAGACAAAAAGACATGGATGGACTGTGTGAAAGATGATTTTGTTTTTTACGTCGCAGGGGGCAAACGAGCATGCGGCTCGCCTGATGGTAAGTGACTACCGCCGCCCATGATCGCCCACAACACCAACGGCATTGCAGGTGTGCTGCCGGCCTTATAAAAAGGAATATGCTCTTTTCTTGAAGGTTATGATGTCGTATCGGTTCGGAAATACTGCTGCTGGAAATTGATTCCAAAGAGTGGTTGTGCTATAGTAAGAATGGAAGTGAATGAGGAAATCATTATGAATCGAGGAGAATGGAAGAGAAAAACACATTATGCCGACCCCACCAGAGGGAGACTTTGTACAAAAGTCGATTGCATGGGTACCTCTGTCCCATTCGTGTTTCAACCGTGAAGCAGTTGTGTTTGCATAGCTGTGTTTCGGTTTGAAGGGTGGGATATGGCGTGAATTTACAGGGTACAGAGGAATAACATCTGAGTCCTCAGGAATGGCAACGCAGGGGGAGTATCATGAGCGAAACAGTATACTCTGTTATGTCCATGGTACTGCTCATGTCTATAGGCGACGGTTACCACTTTCCATCAGGTGGACCGTCAGCTTGTTTGCCATTCTAAGTTGTATAAAAAAAAAAATTATGCCGACCCCAAATAATAATTGGGATAAGGGCAAGAAGATGATGACATAAATAAAGTAAGCTTTAACATTATATCCCTATATATATATTCTATCTGTTCTCCTTTATCTAAAGGTTGTCTGTAAAAGACTGCCATAGCGATAAGACCGCCTTTTGTACCTTTATGTGTATATTTTAATCTGTATTTATGTTACTGTATTTCACTTGAATTATTCACTTGTCATTGTATATTTTTATTTATGGTGCAATAAAGAGTTAAATAAATAAATAAATATCCCCTTACTATCTTCATTTCGCAATACCACTATAAAATATGTTTGCGTGCACGTGACTATTTTAGTAACAATACACATCCTACTACTACAAGTTTTAGTGTTTGTAAATATAGTTAAATGTTTGTTGATCAATCAAAGCGTTTTCGCGACTTTTACCACAAGATAAAACTAATCAAGTTTCAATTAAAACTGTAGGCTAATTTGAGGGACTTTGATAAAGGGCGTGGAGTACCAGAAACAAGCGACGAATCTACCAATAGAATCGTTTCAGTTAGCGCAGTATATGAGAAAGAAGAAGACACCAGACGTTGCTATCTCATTTATTTCATGAATTCGCTAGCGATAACGAAGCTATCGATTGATTCGTTTGCCGCCTGAAATGTTATTATTTTATGTTTGTATTTACCTTCACGTGCCCACAGTGAGCCGCGACATGTAACGCTGTTAGGTAGTCGACTGTGACGTCATCGATCGGTGCGCCCTCTGATAGTAGAACCTTCGCCGTCTCCACGTGTTCGCCTTGCACGGACATGTGGAGAGGGGTGAGTCCGTTCTGTAAAGACAAATAGTATTTTAAACCACTGGAATGACATACAAACAAAAGACTTGTCTGATAGTAGGCATTTGACAGTAATGGAATGGCTACGACATTTATTTATTTATTTATTTACACTTTATTGCACCAAGTAAAAAGAGAAATAACAAATACAGTAAATATTAATGAGAAGTTAAATATTGTTTAAGTAATATATTCATTAATATAATTAGATTCATCATCATTTTTTTATGCAACTTAGAATGGCAAACAAGCTGACGGTCCACCTGATGGAAAGTGGTAACCGTCGCCTAGAGACATGGGCACTACCATGGACATAACAGAGTATACTGTTTCGCCCATGACACTCCCCATGCGTTGCTATTCCTGACGACTCAGGTGTTATTCCTTTGTACTGTGTAAATTCACTGTCATATCCCACTTTTCAAATCGAAACACAGTCATGCAAACATAACTGTTTCACGGTAGAAACACGAATGGGACAGAGGTGTCCAAGCAAACGACTTTTGTACAGTCTCCCTCTGGTAAAAACCTTTTATCAAATGGTCCATATCAGCTTATTTGACGTTCCTAATAGTATGAAAATATATTTATTTATTAGTATATGGGGATACCTTTGTTTTGCTTGTAATGGGTGCGCCATGTTGCAATAGCCGCGACACGACGTTGCTATGTCCGGAACGGGCGGCGCAGTGTAGCGGTGTCAAGCCATCGCGAGTCACTGCCGCTATATTAGCACCTGAAAAATATGTTTCTCTCGTGAGTATTCTGAATTAACCAAACTTAAATTTTGTTTAGACTCGCTGTACTTTGGTTGTGGTCATAATATAAAATTTATATTTTCTACAAATGTCCGTTGTTAATTGATGGTTTATTATCTAATTTTTCAACGTGCAATGTATATTTAGGGGGGAAATGGATTGTTATATATACTAGCAATATATATATATATATATATATATATATATATATATATATATATATATATATCTATATCTATGCTATAGCTATCAGGTCGAGCTCCATGCGATTCCCCTTCGAAACCATAGTGGTTAATACTTGTGGAATTTCTCACGACAGGCTAACTGACTTGCTTCCATTCTCACCTATCATCCCTCACTGAAGCCCTGCCAGCGTATACCGATAGCGCAAGCGAAGTGACCTTTATCATCCCATGAAAAAAGAAGTGCGGTGTATTGTGTTGTACCAAGGTACGGTGGTATATCTTTTTTTCATTGTAATTTCATACTATAAATTATACAAGAAACAATGCGGTTGATTTTGAGACGTCAGCCTCTAAATTTCTCTATAAATTTTCAATTAGATATCATAGCCATATCAGTATTCTAAAGATTAATATGAACTAAGTTTCTAATTGATTTAAGTAAAAAAATATTATTAATTTAATTTACAAATATTTATTGAATAGTACTTTTGCGAAACAAATTTAAATATTAATTCAATCATCTAAATTACTTTTTGGTTAAAAATTAAAGTTAATGACATTAAGATTCTATAAAATTTGTAGTAAACTACTTAAAATTTTGCTGATTTTAATGATTAAAACTTGAATTGGCCAATCCAAATGTTTATAAAAAACATTCAATAAATATTATTGAATACCAATTGGTGTCGGTCAAATTTACCACTTACCGCTGTTCTAATAACCATAATAAAGTTACGATAGTATTGTTTGGAAAATTAATGAGAAATATACATCTAGAACACTGAATTTACCATTTTCAACGAGCAGGTCGACCATGGCGAGCTGTCCCCACTTGCTGGCTACGTGAAGGGGCGTGATGTTGTGTTTGGCGGCGCGGCCCGAGTCAGCGCCCGCTACCAGCAACGCCTTCGCCACGCCGACGTTGCCGTAGTGCGCGGCGATGTGAAGAGGAGTGAAACCAGATTTCGAGCAAGCGTCTGGGTTGTGTTCGTTCTAAAAAGATATATAACCTTACTATATGATATCAATCTACTTGTATTAACATTCTGATACTGAGCACTGATCTTTTATTATTCTACATTTCTGCAGTTAATTACTTAGTACTAAGTCGCGACCATAGACTGCCAAAAGCAATAGTGATTCGAAACTTGAGGTTGTCCCTTCATCTATCTTTCCCCATTACAGAAGAATATGTAGCCTTTTATTACAACGTAAAACGGAATGTTATTTATGTATACAATCATGATGATGATATCAGCCATTAACTGTCCATATATGGGCCTCTCTCATAAAGTGGGGTTTTACTAGTAGTTGCCATGCTTGGCAGGCAGGTTGACAACGGCAGTTAGGTTTTGGTAATATTTTAAGAGGGACGCTGCCGACCATTTCTCGATCATTATAGTAATTAATGATATATATAGCCGGAGCCACATGACTATATATATAATAAAGGTAACTAATAACCATATTTACATTAATACTTATAGTAAGTAATAACTACGTCTATGAGAGCTTGTAAAGTATATTTGCATCACTTGCGCATTATCGACTCTTGTAATAGGAAGACTTTGAATCATAGTACTCGGTAACATCACTGCAGTATTTTACTCTTCAAACTGTAACACAGCATATAAACTGACTGTTCGAATCAACAAAATTGATAGAATGCTAGATAAAGATGCCTATGAGAATAACTTTATTCGAAGTTCAGTGAATAATATGTAATACTCAAGAGCAATTTGCCAATTCTTGCTAAACGAGTAAATCTATTTTTATGAAATACATAATATGATAAAAAGATATCTTGAGCTTTATGAAAGGGCATAAGCTATTCTTTAAATACAATGAAAAGGAGTGAAAGCAAACGAAGTTGTATAAGTTAATAATAAATTCGGGCACTATTCACCTCTAACAATAACGTAGCTGCTTTGACGTCGTTCTTTTTAGCTGCTATATGTAGCGCCGGCAACCGGACCTTGCCTCTTGTGTCTGACTCCAGCAACTCAGCTACCACCCGGTCGTGGCCTTGCTGCATTGCTACTGCTAGAGGTGTGAAGCCATCCTGTAAGTTAAAGTAAGAAATATAGATAAGAAATAAGATTTAACAAGCTGAAGCTGCTACACTAAGATCCTTTAAAAGTGGCGTGTAAAAGCACTTAGTTAGCCACTATACTGCGGTCAACCGTTGCGATCAAATTAGCTCTTTTCGATTGATCATATTTATGGATCACATTGTCTCTGTGTGTTCAATCAGAATGTCATGTTATAATAAAAAAAAAAAAAGTATATAAATATAAATTAGTAGTAGCATAGTCTGTTTCAATAAGAACTTAATAAAAATGTACACAAACGAATAATTGACTCGACTACAGCTGTCTAGACCAAATCTAATGTCTCTAAAAGTAGTACAAGCAACTTTTCGCTTTGTTACCAATTCCATTTGGAAAGTTTAACAAAACTAAGTTAATTTTCAATATGTTCTATTGAAAATCTCTATAGTACATATGCGACCTTCAACGATAGTACTAATATTAACCTTCTCATATTAAGAAAGTGATAGCGGAACTCTAATGGCAAACAATCTACCTCTGTAGCCAATGTTTGGCTGGCACCGGCCGCCAGCAGCATCTTGACGCAGCCGGCGTGGTTCTCCTGTGCCGCCATGTACAGTGGCGTGAATCCGGCCGCGGACTGTGCGTCCGCCTTCGCGCCCGCTGCGAGCAGCGCCCGCGCTACTGACTCCTGCCCCGCGAGACATGCTATGTGCAAAGCTGTGTTTCCTGCGAATATAATTATCTCATTTAGTACAAATTTTTGCCTGCAGCTTCGTACGCATCAATTTTGAAAATAGGAGTAGAACGATTTGGTTTTTATGCAACTTAGAATGGCAAACAAGCTAACGGCCCATCTGATGAAAAGTGGTAATCGTCGTATATACACATGAGCACATATACCATGGACATAACAGAGTATACTGTTTCGCCCATGATACCTCCCATGGGTTACCATTCCTGAGGACTAAAATGTCATTCCTCTGTATTCTGTAAATTCACTGCCACATCCTACCCTTCAAACCGAAACATAGCCATGCAAATACAACTGATTTACGGTTGAAATAAAAATGATTATTCGGATGTATATGTTTGGATGATTAAGTTTTAAATGAAAATGCGATGCATATTTATCCCCCCATTTTAGTCAAGTTGTACGCACCTTTTTTTGTAGCGGCGTCGACGATAGCACCGCGCTTGATCAGCTCTTCGACTACAGAAATGTGACCATCTTTAGCAGCTAGATGCAACGCATTCAGACCATTCTGAAATTAAATATAACGACTATAGATTATTTTATAATATCAGATCTTATACTATTGTTTATTCTGTAATTAAGCTAAGCCCATATAAAAACATATGTTTACAAAGATATCATTTTACGAGTATTAATTCGTATACTGTTGTTAAAGATAAAAAATTGCATTTGTATCGCAGTTTCCTTTATCAACAAACTAAATGAATCCTCTACGAATTGTACAAGAGAATTGTATTTTTCTATTATGTTATTACTGACAAACGCGGAAACTATGCTTAATAATCTATTCTGACGTAAAAGGATGATAAATGTAAACATATAAAAATATTCTTTGCGAGTTTGATAATCTGTTTTTTTTTTTACAACTTAGAATGGCAAACAAGCTGACAACCCACCTGATGGAAAGTGGTAACCGTCGCCTATAGACATGAGCAGTACCACGGACATAACTGAGTGTACTGTTTCGCCCATGATACCCCCCATGCGTTGTCATTCCTGAGGACTCAAGTGTTATTTCTTCGTACCCAGTAAATTCACGCCATATCCCACCCTTCAAACCGAAACACAGCCATGCAAACACACCTGCTTCACGGTAGAAACATGTTTTCCTATTTCTGAAATAAACACGTAAGATGTAAGAAGTAGCAAGTAAAAACATACATAAAATGAACTTTTATTTCATTATTCTGAAGCTGATGTTCTTTTTATATTCTTAGAAATTCTCACATGAATATGTTTAAAGTAATCGTATCACTAATCTTCTAAAATTTATTGGAAATTATTTTTAAGTTCAGTAATAAATAAAAAATTATGAAATAAATATGACATCAAATTCAATATTGCATTTATAATAGCTAGTATGCTGCATGCTCATGGTTTTTGCATAAATCACTATATTAAAATCGTAGGTACATAGTCTAGTTAAATTTTACATACACGATAATAACCGCGAATCCGTGAGTGCAATATAATAATATGCCACCGCATAAATTTCATTCTACGAGTAGTATTACTGTATATGTTTGAAACTTAACAAGATAAACCAGAAGGAGATTTTGTACAAAAGTAGTTTGCCTGGGTACCTTAATCCCTTTCGTGTTTCAACCGTGAAGCTATTGTGTATGCGTGGCTATGTTTCAGTTTAAAGGGTGGGATATAGCAGTGAATTTACAGGGTACAGAGGTATAACATCTTAGTCCTCAAGAATAGCAACACATGGGAGGTATCATGGGCGAAACAGTATACTTTGTTATGTCCATGAACTTGAACACTTTAAAATAAAAAAAAAATTAACGACGATGGTTTCAAGAGTGAATCGCGTGAAAGTCGACCTATTAAAGTAGATTTTGCTAACAATGAGGCTGTTAGACCTAATTACTAATAAACCCTTTTTTCCCCTCACCAACGTGTACGTTCTGATAGCGCAAACAGGACAACCAATTCTTTATCGTTTATTAAATAAAAATCTTGCAAACAATACCATAGGTGCTAACAGCATAATATTATGGAAGTATTAAGATTTTAGGATTAAGAAGAAGAGAACAAGATTTATCAGGAATAAACAAAATACAAATTTTTACAAGAAGACAACGAAATATTTTTTTGCATATAAGTACAGAATCTTTATTTTTATTGTTAATCTTTATACTTGTGATTACATAATTCCAAAGTGCTGAAGACACGATCGTGTTAATATTTTATGAACTACATTTTCAAGTGAGAAATAAACTTTAACCTTCATAGTTATATTGATCGTAATTTGTGAGTAGAAGAAGGTGGTAAACGCTCAATTTGCTATCCTTTTGAACTGTCACCGCATTCATAATTAATTTAACGCTATGAGTTTATTCGCGCTAGTGTAAAACGACGTCCAGCTGAGCATAACGTATGAGTTTGAAGGCCGACTATAATTGCAAACCACTATATTGATACACTGGTTGCTCGTCATTCGATTGCAAAAAGTTTTCCTTTTATAGTACACAAATGCTGATAGACAGATACACTGTAGAAATATAAAAATACGTCACATTTTCGACCGACTTCAAAAAGAATAAGGTTCTTCGTTCGGTTGTATTTTTTTATGTTTGTTACCTCATAACTCCGTCAGTTGTAAACCGATTTGGAAAATTCTTTTTATATCACAAAGTTCTACTTACAAATTGATCATTTAGAAATTTTATCAAAATCGGTTCAGTAGTTTAGTTTTACGATCAAAATAACTGGTTTTGTCACAACTAATTTGATTTTTTTGGTACATGCCAGAATTGAAAAAGGAATACTATTAATAAATGCGAAAGTTTGTAACGATGGATGGATGTATGTTTGTTATTCTTTCACGCAAAATATATTGAAAGAAATTCGGTATATATATCTTAACTCAGCACGTAGAATAATTTATATACTAATTCATACAGCCAAAGTTACAGGATAGAGATAGTATCAAATAATAACAACAGAAGTAAAGAGAGAAATAACTAGCGAACGCCTTAGATTACTCGATTCTAGGTAAAGGTGGAATCCTAGAAAAATTCGCTCTCGCAGCGTACGTACCTACTGTAAACTTATCTGGTTTTCTCGTTAATTAACGAACATGCCGATAATTGGGTCGGACTGTGAGATACTTTCTACGGAATTCTCTTTACATGCCTGTTATTACTGCTGTAGAATGTTAACGATAACTCACTGTCTGCAAATCTGGAACGCTATCTATTACTGAGATCTGATTAATTTTAAAAATATAATACATAAATTTATTGGTACACAAACCCTTACAACATTTTATGTCTTATACATATAATATAAGATACAATATACCCAGGTACATATAAAATTACTTAGTATCTTTTTTATACAACTTGGAACGATATACAAGCTGACGGCCCACCTAATGAAAAGTGATAACCGTCGCCTATAACCATGAACATAGACATCACAAAGTATACTGTGTCGTCAATATTACCATGCATGACTAAGAAATTTACTAAATATCCAAGGGAAATAAAAACACTTTCCGCGTAATCGACGTCCCGGTAAATTTAGTAGTTAATTTTATTTAATATATATTATTACAAATACCGCAAAATATGGATCATATGTTTTACATAGGCATCATCACGTACCATTTATTTGCAAAGAACAAATATTTCATTAATAACGAAATAATTAAAAAATATACCCTTGAACAATCTATAGTTTTCTTTCAGCTTCTCAAAAGTTGACTGTAAGAGATCCCCCTATAAGATACGTCCGCCATTGTACATTAAATCTTTTAATACGAGGTTTGTCCGGAATTTATAAAAGTTTTTTAATATATATTTTTATCCCCTTCAAAGTACTCCCCCTGTGACATAATGCAAATACCGCCAAAATATGGATTTTTTTATCATTTATGTTTTTTGGTTTTTGGGAACAAGAAGAAGTCATAGGCATCATCACGTACCATTTATTTGTGAAGAATCAACGCCCCTCTCGCGCCAATTCTGGACGACAAATATTTCATTAATAACGAAATAATTAAAAATGATAACATCGAAAAAAACAATCAACATTGTCTTGAACAATTTTCTTGATTTTTTTGTTCGTGGTTCCCCGGATGTCTTCCACTCTTTGCTTTCACGGCCATTCTTGCAAGAGAGATTACGACGCGCTGCTCTTCAACGGAGATCCCCGACGGGGTTTCGTTATAAGATGGCGTGACAAGTCGCACCGCACGGCGGTCAGACCAGAACTAGGGACATAAGGAAGGGGTCCTGCGCTTACCTATTCCAAACACTTTTATACTTTTAATATATCCAATGTTAATTATGTAAAATAAATATTATACAATACAATAAATTAAACAGGAAATTCGAAACACTTTTTTGCAATTCCTACATTACAAAACGCTACTAGGAAATCCTTTGTAAACACATAGGAAAACATAAAAAAAATAAAACAAATTATTACGGAATCTCTGACGCCTGCGGGGCCGACATAAACAGAATGAAAACACGACCTTCAGCACCTCTGATGTCATAAGTTCCTGTCATTCCATACAGTAGATTGCACCGGGATGTGCTCATTCGGTGCTCGAGGTCGACATTTATCAGATAGAGTGCATACGTGCATACCATGTAATTCAATTTTGTTCTGCGGAAGACCCTCGGAAGCGTAATATGCTCTCCGTGCGGCGACAGAGTAATATGTAGTTTCCACCAAACATACATCATGTTATCATGTACTGTAACACTACATGTATAGAGTTTTATATAAGGTTCCATTTTTCTTTACACAGTTCAACATAAATTTTCAATCGACTTGAAAAAATAAGTTTATTTATTTATTTACACTTTATTGCACCAAGTAAAAAGAGAAATAACAAATACAGTGAATATTAATGATAAGTGATACAAAAGGCGGCCTTATCGCTAAGCAATCTCTTCCAGACAACCTTTGGGTAGAGGACATTGAGAAAAAGACAAAGGGTAAGTTCTCAATTCGGTTGTATTTATACTTCATGTTTGTTACTTCATAACTCCGTCAGTTCTAAACTGATTTGGAAAATTCTTTTGTTTATCTAAAAGAGTCATTATATATTATTATACATTACCTAAGGCATTTAATTTTTAGTCGTCAGAGAAAAATAAAAAAATCAGTAATGTAACTAAACCATACATTGGGGACGGCGTTGGTATTCGCGAACACAGTTCTATACTTTTTTTTTATAGAACTTAGAATGGCAAACAAGCTGACGGTCCACCTGATGGAAAGTGGTAACCGTCGCCTATAGACATGAGCAGTACCATGGACATAACAGAGTGTACTGTTTCGCCCATGATACCCTCCATGCATTGCCATTCCTGAGGACTCAGGTGTTATTCTTCCTCCGTACCCAGTAAATTCATGCCATATCCCACCCTTCAAACCAAAACACAGCCATGCAAACACAACTGCTTTACGGTTGAAACACGAATGGGACAGAGGTACTCAAGCAATCGACTTTTGTACAAATTCTCCCTGCCTTCTGCGAATATCATCGAATATTATAATCAATGCTTTTGATCCAAATAAAGAATTAATTATTAATTGCAGCCGTAGTTTCCCATCAATACTCAACTCCAGGGAGAACGTCTTTATGAAGGCAATAGGTAATACGGTTTTCTATACCTTAGAGAGCTGACATACCCACTTCTAATTGAGCACTTTGAAATCAACCCACAGGGAATATTAGCGTGCACGTGTTAAGTAAATTAGTTATTATGTACATGCAATTAAAACTTGGCCATTACTGTCTAATTGCGAGTAATATCCATTACAAGATAAATATAATTCTCTGACCTGCGCATCTATGGGAATATTGTCGTTTTGTGTGAATATTAATTATTTTAAGTGACTTCTAAAAGGAAAAACAAATCTAATTTTTTTTTTATTTTCTTCTAGTAATTCTTGTACTTTTATTTAAATTATATATATAAATATAACATAAATAAAAATATTTTTTTCTGTAACTAAAGTATCTACATCGTATAAATAACTAATGTTATATCCAATAAAGAATCTTAACTGCCCAGTGTTGAACATAGGTCTCCCTCTATTAAAGGGCTAGTTGTGGCCACGCTTGGCAGGCGGGTTGGCAACCGCAATTAAGTTTTAATGAAGTTTAAAGAGAAACACTGCTGCCCATTCCTCGACCAATAAGTTCTCTTAGTCGACATTTAAGACAACCATGGGAAAGGAAGGTGTAGCCTATTCTATACTGCGATCACACAGAGATGAAGCGTTAATGAAGAATAACGCATCCATGTTGATCCATACATTTTTTTTAATCCACGGAAGAATTTATAATCTTCTCTGCTTCTCTTTTGTAGTTGGTTGAAAACTGCATTAATATTACAAATATTATCTAAATAATACCATGAAATGCCTACATTTAAAGCTTTCGCTTGTTTGTTCTTAACATACGTATAGTTTTAGTATATCCATTAGACACATTAAAACTTTAATAACTCGGCAGTTTTGTTAAATTGACGAAATTATTCTATTTAATTATAAACGATAGCCGTAAACATGAGTAGTGTCATAAAATGTACAACTACTTTCCATCAGGTTTGGTCGCCGTTTGCTACTCCGACTAAGTTTATACTATAAAAAAGTTAAGTTCGAAAAGATCGATATTAGATTGTATCAAATCGAGATAGGAAATCGCATTTAAAATAATTCTGATGTAACTATTGCAGATAAGAATTTAAGAAACTCATATTTGGAACCGATGATGTCGATCAGATTGGATGTCCGAAACGAGAGGACAGCTATGATTAATGAGATAGATACCTACTTATGTTCGGTCAATTGTACATTATTTATTTCCAACTTTCCATCCTCCTCATAGATTTTATCTATGTTCAAGCATATAGAAAGCATATTACAATTTGTAGACCATAGATATGAAAAAATATTATTATTACTTGGCAATTTACTAATTGCGATTTGATGCAGAAATATAATTTTAAATTTATATTTTTTAAATTCTTATTTTAATAATATTGCTAAAATAAATAATGTGTCCAACAAAAAAACCTACATCAATTGTGACAAAACCAGTTATATTAATTAAAAACTAAACTGCTCAACCGATTTTGATAAAATTTCTGTTGGACAAATCTGTATATCCTTACAAAATATAAAAAATGAATTTTCCAAATCGGTTCTGAATTAACGGAGTTAAGAAGTAAAAAACATAAAAAAATTCAACCGAATTGACTTGAAAAAGACACTATTCAAATTTTCATAAAAAGATTACTCGAATGGAGTCATAATACTTATAATAAAAACGAATTACATGCATAGAGAAAATATATTCTTACAAAATTTGTAATAATATTTCGGAACGTTTGATTACAAACGCGTGCAAATGTACAACAAATGCGTGCAAAATTTGGTTAAATGAGCTCTTTTTAGTATTGTTACATTTTTAGTGTTATTTTTATTCTAAGTCTGGGTATCTAGAGTTTTTATACATCAATGATTACGACTAACAAAATAAAGAGCAACACAAATGCCTTTTACAGTATACCAAATCAAATTATCGCAAAATATTCCTGCATATTTTGGACCATATTAGTATAATTCCACTTTGGTTTACATAACATTTGACCATCATAACGGTGAATTGTTAAATTGATTGTCACAATATACTCTCTTTGGCATGAACAAGTAAATAGTTCGATGAAATTTATGATGCTCTATAGAAAACCGGTGACCTAAATCTGTCTTTGGTGCGTAATACCATGGCGTCCCAAATAAATGTAAATAAATAACTCTACTTGTTCAATGTAGCGTTTTCTTATGTTATGGTTATTAAACACAAGTTATTTTAATGATGGAGATTATTAATTGGCATAGAAATATTGTTATATGTTTAGTAACATGCAATACTAGCTTTTGTCCGCAGCTCCACTTGTGTATGATATACTTTCATCACCTATTTCACCCCTTTATGTATGAATCATTTAAAAATGTTGTTTTTGAACAAAGAGGCTAGGTCTAAAATCTCACGTATCTAACTTCTAAATTGTCAAAATTCCAAACAAACTTTCAACCCCTTTAGAAGTTGAATTTTCAAATTTACTTTCTTATATTACCGCCTACGCTATATAAAGAAACTATTTGCAAAATTTCAATATCGTAGATTAAGCGGTCTCGGCTGTGCGTTAATATATGGGTCTGTCAGTCAGCTAATCAGCATCCTTTTATTATAAATATAGAATAGAACGATACTAGAATAACTTATTAATATTATAGATGCAAGAGTGAGTTTGATTATTTGCATGTTTTTTACCAATTGACATCTTAGCGGCTTAATAAATCACTATGAAATTTAGTACATACGTAAATTATGTAATAAGAACGAACACAGACTGCTTCTTTGTCTTCAAACCCTTTAATAACTCTAGTTCAAATAAATTTTTACGTGTTTTTGTAATATATATACTTATCAAAATATTCAACTATATATAAAAAATCATATATTTCTTTACATAGTATGTATTTGGACCGGCTCCCTTTTAACAAACAAAAGTTTACAGACAATAGAATCCCTGAGAGTGGCTGAGGCACATCAAGACGCTTTTTTACCTCACAAATGTATTTCAGAAATGTTTGTTAAAGGGCGCGGGTTGTGCATAATACATATCAATTATATTATGTGTGTGTATGTATTTACTAGCTAGTTATATTTATTATCAACGATTAGTTTTTTGCCCACTAAAGAATTAGCGGGCAAAAATTATAGTAGCATAGTAGTGGTGAAGTAGTGAGAAATTAATGTGTAAGAACATGAATTTCCAACTAGAAGAAAAGTAGGAAAACTAATTAATTAGACTACTTTTAGATGACGTATCATGATAAAACGTACACCAGATTTTAAGTGAGATCTTCAGGAACAAACTGTGCAAACCGTATCCGATTTGGAGCAATAGTTTTTGCGTGATGTCAGGACAAACCATCATAATGATATCAAAAAATAATTGTTTTAGCTTCTATTGTCCTTATAAAAATAAGTGAATGTTAGTTACGAATAATTGCAAAAGTACAGTCACTTGCAACTATATATAAATATATTACTTAATGAAGTATCAATTATTGTAATAAGATACAAAAATGTTGACATATTATTGTAGGCGACTGTACATGTATAAACGATTGGTGCATGACGTTTGCGCAATCCTCACCGAGTTACATGTGTTGATGTCTTTCACTGCGCTGGAGTCTAGTAAGTCGACAACTGTGTCCAATTGTCCGGCGCGCGCCGCACGCAGGAACGCTGTGTTTGGGTCTATCTGTAAAAGAATAAACATAAATTTATTATATATTTTTTATGATATTATATGTCGTAAGGGGCGATAAAGGGAACTAAATGGTCGAGGGATGGGCAGCAGTGTTCCTCTTAAAATATCATCAAAGCCTTACTGCGGTTTTTTCTTATACTACTAAGGTGGCAAACAAGCATACGGCCCACCTGATGGTAAGTGGTTACCGTAGCCTATGAACACCTGCAATACCAGAGGTATAACGCGTGCGTTGCCGACCCTGAAGAAACCTCTTTACCCCCCTTTTGAAGAAGTCTCTTGGGAAAACCTCGTTGTCAACCTGCCTGCCAAGCGTGGCAAATACTGGCAAAACCCCGTAATGAGGAAGGCCTATGTTCAGCAGTGGACAGTTAAAGGGTAATATGATGAATATAATATAATATAAGGAAGTCTGTAACTTATATCGATCAGTAAGGAAAATCACATGTAAGAACGTTAAAATTAACACTAATCTTTGTGGTAGTCATGTAAACAAATAATTAATATGGAAATAACACTTATAATAAGTAATTGCATCGGCGAAAGACCAGCGAGAAAGAATAAATGAAATTACAATGGTGAAAGTAGCAATATCTTTTATTTAATTGCCATATCTTCAAATAGCTTTGTTATAAAGTTATCGTAGATATAAACATAGCAATTTATTTTGTGTAATGACGTTCGATTCTAGTATTGATAATAATCTTAACTTTGTTCTCACGGTGATAGAAAAATAAATAAAAAATAATTTTTAAGACGAAAATGCAATGCAAAAGAAATCCGAAGGAACTGGCACCCTATTTAATTAACCGATTATTACAGTAACTACCAAGTGTATTTGTGATTCGCCATCACTGAACACAAATTACTTTTTATCCTAAAAGTTATACAATCCAACCAATACATCCCGGTTACATTTAATTTCATATTGTTGTATGTAAATAATATTATTAAAACAACCAACAATATTGTTTAATTTTCTTTATTGCATTCAGAAATACAGTAATAATATCAAATTATTACAAGTAATGTGGGTAAAGGTGAACTTATCTCTAATAGAAATCTCTTCTAATGTATAAAAATATTATATATATAAAAATATTATGGAATAACTAAACTTGGGAAGTTCATTAAAAAACAGATTATACTCTTCAAAAGTACACACAAAATTCAAGAACATTTTACGACAATCGTGGTCCACGATTTTACAGTGAGATCACTAACCTAAACGAAGGACAGTCGCAGCCGAATTATAAAAAATCGAGAATTGTAATTGGGTATTACAATTTTTTTTATGCAATTCAAAATAATAAACAAGCTGATGGAGCACTTGATGGAAAATGGTCACTATTGCTTATAGATATGTACAGTGCCATGAACGATAAAAAGGCGGGGTATTTTATAAAGTCCACCGACATAACACCCTTCCGTTACTGAGGAGTAAGATGTTACGTATCCGTACTCTACAATTTCACTGCTAGAATCTATATCATATATTTAAATTCCTTTTAACAGCAAGCACAAAAGTAACTTAATAAATATATTTAAAATAATAATTTATGCAATTTCAATAATTTATTGTCAAGATATTTTACAAGAAGCTTATTCAAGATCACGTTTTGTTTTTTTTTTTTATTTCTACAAGGTGTTTATCTATTCGCCTTGTATTCTTTGTGTGTTATGCCAATTTTGAACCGATTTTTACAATTTTCTGAACTCTTGACAAAATGTTATGTAATAAATAAATCTTTATCAATCAATTGGATTTATGCAATTTTTATTTTGTCAGTGTCAAAAAAGCGGTTTTTATTTGCGAAGCAAAATCTACTTTCTGTAATATCTATCACGTGTTTTGCGTTCTAAGTTCAATTGTTTTATTAATGTAATGTATTTATGTATGTAGTCGTTTATCACACATCATACAACATCTTCATCATCTTCCTACCCCTTTCCCAATTATCATTTGGAGTCGGCATAATATGATTTTGTCCATATTACAAAAAGATTGGTTTTGTAGTTTTACGATCGGCCACCTGCCTGACGTCTAGTCAATAAGTCGTTTATTAGTATTGTTTTAAAATAAGAAGAGATTATGTTAAAAATAATTTTGATTTTCAACTATGATATCCCCGAGACATAGAAAGATATATATAGAAATAAACAGACAAAAGCACCAATCTAATTAAATTAGAAGTTTTGTTTTTTTCTAAACACTAAAAACAAGACCGAGATCATTCAGAAAGTATCAACACGAGCCATCGAGATAAAATTTTAATTGAGCACAGGCATCGATACCAACAATCGGAGATAACAGATAAACAGTTGGCTTCTGTAAGCTCGTAAGCGATTCGATTGAGATAACGCAATTCGTGACTGTAATGAAATATCGGATCGTAAATCGACATCAAAAGCAACAATTTAGAATCCTAGAATAGTCGTAAAATATTGTCTGAATAGCTATTTAGTTTGCTGAACACGATCTATCTTTGAACACTTGATTAGTATTATTTTTAAGAGATGAAAAAATCCTCAAAAACGGATGTTTCACACCGTCTGTCTTTTCTGACGATTTAAATTGTCGTTTTTTGCGGAGCAAAAAACTTCTCATCGGTCATCGGTATTTTGTCATGGCTGAAGTAGGCAGCTGCTCCGTTTTTCATTGTGGAACATTTGATGCGAAGGAATGACCATCACATGTAATTTTTGTACACATGTATGCCTAACGATGTTGTTATTTTTAAATAATAAATATTTTATCTCTTTGTTATGTATTTGCATAATTTTCACAGAATTAAACGCACTTTTTTCTTCTTAACATATTATTTTGTTCTTTTCTTCGAAACAATTTGCTAGCGACTTAATGCTATTGATATTATTATTTCCAAAATTGATATCTTAAGGGATATGGCAAATTAACTCTCAGCAGAAACTGGAGTTCAGTGTCCTAAGGAGAAAAACCAGCACACTAATTCCAACCTCATTATCATTATTACTTGGAAAATGCTGTTATTATAAGAAAATAATAATTTTAATGCAATATAATTAAATCAACTCTATTTATTTGCGTTAATTATAATAATAATTAAAATTAATTGAGGTACGCTTCGCAATACGTTCAAAATATTTTGAAATCTTCATCATCAACCACATAACCACACATAATATCCTTATAATGATAGTATTATAAGCACATTTATCGTTTAATAAATTTATGAAAAAATATTTCAAAAACAGCGATACTCAAAAGGCATTTCATCGACGTTCAAACATTTTTTATAGAGCCACTAGGCACTGATTTCCATATATAATTAACGCACATTATATATATAAATAAACAAATGCACACACCACTAGGGTAATAGAGTAGACCCGTCGTTCGAGCGGCAGAATGCGCGCGCCGCACCAAACCGCCATGGCGGCACTGCGCCTGCGCAGGCGTCACGCTCCAACGACAGTACCGATAGCATGGTGGACAAGGAGGTCGCCGTCAAGTCGACAAGTCAAATCTAGATTACCTGCAGCGAAAGGATGAAACTGCTGGTCGTGCATGATCACAATCAAGAACTATCAGAAAGTTGTTTGGTGAAAGGTCATCTTGGCTAGGATCTAGGATCGAGATGGACCAGGGTTCTGTGACCCCTTTTAAGTAAAATAGAATAATAGATTGCACGTCACACGTTAGCGATGCGAAGCACAACTAATCTAATCTTTGTTTGCAAATCTAGTGCGCATAACATGTCATGAAAGCTTATTTAAACAAATAGAACAATTTAAACAGAGAACCGGATATCCCAACATTCAATCTTGGTGATCTCTGAATTCATTTAAATTCTGGTGACCACACATCTGCTCATATCGATATTAATACATCTGTTGCTGTCATACAGGACTACATGAAGACAGTTATTGCAAAATAACCATAGAATGTAAAGGACGAAAATATACGTGCCATTTAGACACGCATATTTTGGTCCTCAAAAACTATCAAAAAATAATTTATCCAAGATTTTGATAAATTATTTTTGACAGTTAATATAGATATCAACTGGAATTTCGTACTGGTTCCTAATTTTGTTACTATTGAAGTATACCTACATATTTTTTAAGCAAAATTTTGAAAGTACTATTTACAGCCATGTTATTTTCAAGCCAATAATCTCATGTCCCTTAAAACAACTCTTAATAGTTCCCAATTTAAGACGGAATGTTCCTCATTCTTGAGGCTTATGTCATTCTTGTCTTTTACTATCAACCCGTTACAGACAAAAATCCAATGTGGTGAAAACAAATGCAATACACATGTGAGTGTCCTACATTACGTTACACTGATACTTATCAACGGATGTCCTTTACTGCAGTAATTTACATCGTGCAACATTATCTAGCGAACATTTGTAAAGCAATTCAATATTATATATTCACAAACAACAGCGACCTCAACCTTAATCAAATATGGAACCAAAACATGAGTGAACAGTAGTAATCCGTTCTGGGAAGAACTTGGGGAGAAAACTGAATAGATATATGTCACAAACAAAATTCTCATTTTCAAGGAGCGTAAAAAAAACATTTTATTGGTAAACTTTATAATACCGATTATAATAATAATGGTATTATAAATTCAAATCTCCAAAAACTAATCTGTAGTTCAATAAAGCTTTTGATGATTTTAAATTACCTTAATACTCATTATAGTCTACAAATCATAGAGCTATTCTACACGAATGACATATAATTTGATAAAACATGTACCATTACCAGAGAACAGTGAATGCCGTTAGAAAGTAACTTGAAACATTATGGGTCTAAGTCTGGTCAGAATTAAGTAGGGTCTATGAAGAGGACGACTTTTTGCTTAGATTGAATGGACAGTGCCGAGGTGAAGCCAGGGAGAGATCACGTCTGCCCATTATTGGATCGTATAGTGTTCGAAGATGCGACGCAAAAAGCAACAGAAACCTAGCAAAGAAAACTAAAATTGAATAAAATAA